ACCCTACTTGGAAAGACATGAGGCAAAAACTTAATTTTAAATACCGACCCTCTACCAGTGACCGTCATCTAGAGCACCACCCTACCTTCTTTGTTGGAACAAACCGTGGACATTACTGTGGTCGAGACCACCCATCTTTTAGTAACAACAGGGTTACTGCCCCCAACCTTGATGGCCGACCCTTTATAGGGTCTTCTGTTGGATCGATCCCATATGACTCCCCACTTGGGCCGACTCCTAGCCATCCCAGTCAACCTTTAGCCTCCCCAGTCCTTGACCCTACCAGTGTCATTTTAACAAAAAAATGCATTACAAAAAAAAGTCCCCTGAACCCGAAATTGAGTACATCCATTTCGTGGATACTAAGGATATTATTGAGAACGAGGATTTCTTTGAGGATGAAACTGAAATGAGTGATTTAAACTCCATACAGGACTTAAACCCTGAGTTAGGAAAGTTGGAACATTTAAACGTCAACACCTTAGCCCACCCTGATCCTAGTCTCCTCGAGGATAATTCTTTAGATAAGATTTGCCTGGATGATATTAACTTTATCTCGAAAGGAGCTGATCTGGCTGTGAACACCATGAACTTAAATTCAAAAGTTTTTGACTTAATTATACCTCCTATCGAGAATATTAGTATGAATTTGGAAGATAGTGATCTGAGTCTGAAAGTTTCTGAACCTAAGTTGAATAATGAGTCTCCTCTTGCTTTATTGGAGTCTATTTTAGGAGTTGCTCCTCTAGATTTACGTATGAGCGAGTGTGTCTTTCTTGATTGGACTTATATCTCCATTCTTCATACCAACCTTAATGTTAGAGACAGTGTTAGCCCATACTCTCTTGACATCTTCTCAACTGTTGTGCACACTTTTGTTCTAGACACTCTACCCCATCTTGGGAGTCCCATACCTACTGGCGACTCTTTGGGCTATCCCCTTATGGGCGTGAGTCAGGACCCATCATCTTATCTTATTCCTGATTCATTCATTTTGCCTGTCATATTCTCGTCCTACCCTGTTAAGGACCATCTCTCTCCTAGTTGTATGAATTTTCTCGATTACACTACCACCGCTAGGAGACTACTCACGACTCTAACTGAAACTTCCTATAGAAATGCCCTGATAGCAAAGGATGTCTTCATTTCCCCCCCCCCTACACCAGTTCCCTTAGACCTGACCGCTTTAGATCCCCTCATTTTCATGACTCTTCCACCTTTATTCCATTTACGTGTGTTTGTGTGCCTGTTTCCTGTCGAAATTGTCTCTGTTTAAAATCTTTGTGTGAGCTCACGACTCTTGTCATTCTTCATGCATACCGATTCTTTTCATCTGCATTCACATCTCATCTTCAAGAATTGCACAAAGAAATAAATAAAAGAATTCAACAAAGCAATGCTCACTATAAGATCGATGCTGATCGTAAGAAAATATTTAAAGAATTTGAAGTTGGAGATTTTGTTATGGTACGGATCCGTCCGGAGCGGCTTCCCCAAGGAGCCGTTAAAAAATTGCATGCTAGAAGTGCGAGCCCCTTTAAGATAATCTCGAAAGTAAACAGCAATGCTTATGTGTTAGACCTTCCTGAAGGCTTTAATATTAATCCTACGTTTAATGTTGAAGATTTAGTAACATTTGAGGGACCTGAGTTTAACCCTGTCAATCCAATTCATAATAAGCCTTGTGAGAACCCACCCAGTGAGATCCCCAACCTACCTCCACTATCCAATTTACCTTACTTACCTAGTGTGGAGAAGTTTGAAGCTATACTTGACGATGAACTCATTTCCATGAAAGAAGGTGGACGCCAAAGGTACTTGGTTCGCTGGAAAGGGAAGCCGGTGACAGAGGATACATGGATTGATCGAGAGGAGCTATAGAGACTAGATCCAGATCTGCTAGAGCTATACGAGAGCGCCCGCAGTACTCACTCGACGGGGTCGAGTTTTCTCCCACCCGGGGAGAATGATGGGGACATCGATACGAGGTTTTGACGCGTCTATCAGAGGCGACACAGGAGATCGATGGCCATAATGAAGAGTCTTTACTTTTGATGCATTTTTTGTATTAGTCTTTTTTATTTTTTTGTTTTTTCAATTTTGCCCTTATGGGTAGTTGGTCACTATTATAGCCCAAGGGGCATTCTTGTCTTTTGTTTTTATTTGTCATTGTGAGGCTTATATATATGGTCACTCTCTTATGTATTAGATGATGAATTATTTAATGAAAATTTTATCTTGTTTCTTCTTCTTGCATGAGAGCTAGAAAAGGGAGAGAGAGCTCAAAGGGAGCAAGTGCAAGGCCCACCAATCGTTAGAAGAGTCCTCGACTCGTGGTTTTCTATTTTATCGTCGTCTTCTCCACCTCTTCCCTCACTCCCACCCGCTAGCCTCCATAATCCCACCACCAAGCTCGCCACATAATTCCCCTTCCCCAAGCCCACCGTCCACTAGCTCCACCACTCAACTCCATTCTTCCAACCACACTCCAACCCGCCCCAACCCCTTGCCGCCGACCCCTCTTCTCTCATAATTCCCATTCATTATGATGATGTCAATGACATCATCATAATGACTTCCTAGTTTAGCTCGCATGAGAGGGAAATTTTGGTTTTATTTGAAATTCAAAACAATTTGAAATTCAAATTATTGCCATATAGGGAGGTCCAAATTAGGAAAGTTTCAATCATGCAATCAATCTCAAAATAAATCAAAGAGAAATTATTAATTCCTTTTCCTAATCCTCCACCTCTACTTGGAAACTCCCAAACATCTTCCCTAATTCCCTCCCCCCTTCACTATGCCGCCGGCCCCCCATGGGGATTTCCCCATTAAATGCTAAATCAATTCCCTTCCCCAATTATTCAAATTTTGGAATAAATTTCTGGATTAACACAAAACCCCTTCCCCCTCTCTCTCCATGCCACCGGCCCCCATTAATGGGCTCTCCTAATGTTTTTCCTATTGGGGCCTCAATCATATTTGAAATTTGAAATCAATTTCAAATTGATTTCCTCCAAAACTACTCAATATCTGAAATCAATTTCAGATTTGTAGTAATTCACTTTCTCCTACTTTTAACCTAAGCTTCTTCCCCAAACCACCCGCCACTCTCTCTTCTCCACTTTGGCCGCCACCTCCTTGGTCCCTCCCTTGGGAAGTTTGAGGCCAAAAGACGAGGATGACGTCCTTCTCATCTCCTTTCAAGGTCGAATGGCCGATCCCGAGGTTGATCACGGGTTCGCTTACAACGATCGTGGGGAGATTGACATTCTTCTCTCTCCTTTCTACGACCCCGATTGGGAATACGACGAGACAGCGGAAAGATATGTCAGCGCATCCTCTATTGCTTGGCACATACGATCGATCTTCAAAAGCCTAAGACGCATTGGCTTCTCGTTGGGAGATCTACACATTCCCCATTTGCGGCTACTTCTTCACCACCGTCAACCTTTCCGTGGATCAATACCATTGACGTTGCGACCGTCCTCGTGGCATCGTTGGGTGTGCTGAAGACCTTTCTCCGCTAAGCCATACTTTGTGTGTGAGTGAGCATGGTAACTCATAGTGAACTTTCTAAATATTAATCGTGGGATTGTATTACAACATATTTTGTTTTTCTGTGATAATTTCAGATCTATCTTAACTTGCCTTAAACTTTTGAGTTGTAACTGCTTACTACAAGAAGATCGACGACTGAAAATTCTCTAATCTAATCTTACGAAACCTTAATCTTAAATAGCAAGCTTTGTAATCCTTTAAAATATTTCCGTGCAATTCTTGTTTGTGTTGCATCACTCTTCCTTGGTGCACCATAGAGTCCTCCATTTATTTAAAGATTTGGGAGGAATTTGTTTCAAACATTGTAGTGGCAAAGGAGGCTATATCAAACAGAGCAATAATGAAGGTTGCATTGGTTATATATAGAATAACAACAATGGAAGGCCGAAAATGAAGGCACAGCAATACAAAAAACTCAAAATTTCGGCAACGACAATGAAGGCTCTAATACCATGTTAAATTCAAAGAATTGGAGAGGGAAAATGCTTAAATTTATTGCACAAACTTGCCATATTTATAGATCTATACAATATATCTTAATAAAGAAACAAATAATTACATAATCATGCATAATTGCTCTAATGTAATCCTTCCTAAATCAGCCACCTAAATATGGAAGGAGGTCAACGTGATCCAAGTGAGCCTCCTATGGATTCCCATCCTAGCTATGGGATCAAAATGCCAAGGGACGGAAAAGATTCAATAAGTGAGCATCCACAGATTCCCATCCTAACCATGGGATCAAAATGCCAAGGGACGGCTGAGATTTAACACAAATCAACCATCAATATTGCATATAATCCTATGTAATACAACCATAAAAAACATACAAGTCGTGGGAATCTATGAGCACTCAGTCGTGGGAATCGTAGGCATGAGAAGACTGAACATGGTCACCTCAACAAAAGGGATGAAGCATAAGGCATGAGCAATAGCGAGTTGTGAGCTACAATGGGTGCAAAGATTTTCTAAGGCACAATAGCAGATAACACTTCATTAAAATAATCCAAAAAATTATATTTAGATTAAAGAGAAAATGAGATCTTATAAATAGAAAAATTCAAAAGAATGCAAAACACTAAACAAAAAATAGTAAGAAGGCACCACCAAGAAGACATGGACCACACAATATAGAAACTTCAAGGTGCTAGTAAAAGACACCAACCATGCATTAAATGCATTGTCATCGTAGCTTTATCACAACTATTAGGGGTCAGCTTAAAAAATATTTCTTCTTCTTATTTCATTTCTCTAGTGCTACATGTGGTGTTACATTAAACTCAAGTCTTTTTTTTCTTTAATTCTAACCAAATTAAATTTGGCCTACCCTCTCCTTTACATGCCTTCTGGAGTGATTATCAGCTAATCTTATTGTCGCGTGTTCTACTTCTTGCACATGTCAAAAAAATATAAATAATGCAGTAAGGATGACTTAATACCTGAGGGAGAGCTTCTCTTCTACGACCAGCTGCATTCATGACTCGTGCAATTTCAGCACGATCAAAGCAATTTCTGCTACAAGACTTAGCAGCAGAGTACCACAAGAAGTCAGCTACAGGAACCTCTCCTTCCCTGCGAATGTCTTGCCTTTCAGGATCAAGCAGTATAACCACTTGATTCTTCTTTTGTAGTTTTCTCAAAATCCTAGCAGGGACACCTATACCTCTAGAGCCATAAATTACATGTCTTGCGTCTGTCACAACTACAAGCAAACTAGTAGAACCTCCATCTATCACTGCTTGCATGATAATTTGAGAAACTGAATAATCATCAACAACTCTTGCTTGAGCGGATAGGTATGAACTAGGACCAAAAGGAACAGATTGTTTTGAAGAAAGCTGGTCTATCATAGACCTTCCAGAGATAGATGTGAAGCCAGAAACAAATCCTGAACCAGCTGGCGGTGCATATAGTTTGCGCTGTGCTTGAGTCAAGCCCCAAATCCCTTCAGCTTGAACAGTTCTTAATACCTAAAAACAAGAAGGTTTGATTTATAAGAAAACAATTTGGCTTGAAACTGATATCGACTAATATACACAAAAATAATTTAGGAAACTAAAAATATATTCAAGGTGGAATAAAGAGATCCAACGTAACGAATCAACATGCAATAAGTTTTTACAGGTAAATCATAAGGAGTTCCAAACAGAAATTGTTAAAGTTAAAATCAGCCAACTAGAGCAATAATATCACATTGCCTATCAAGATAGATCTGGAATATGATAAAAAGGTAGAAATCGCACCGCAGATCATAAACTTCAATGTTCACTTTAATTGGTAGGAATTGATGTATGTTAGCAGAGAAACAGTAACCATTAAAATATACAACATTAAAATTTAAGTAGAACTAAAGAATAGAGAAAAACAAAGTCTACAGCCCAGTTTATCAATATTCCCATCAAAGAGATGAAGTGCAATAAAAAAGAGTTCTTCTCCAATGGAACTTCCTATTCTGCTATTTCTTCTCAAAACAAAGAGTATAAAGTTTTACAATAATTCATCCAAAGCCGCCACTGGCCTATTTCTTACAGAAAACCAAACTTGCTCATACCATCAGCATGATGGGGCATCCAGTTTTCGGAGAAAAGGACATAACAAGCAAAATAGTATAACCACCTAAATCAGTAAATAATAAATAAGAAAAATACATAAAACAAAGATGGAAGATTAACTAAGTAACGTGTACTAGCTGATGCATCAATTCCCCTATTCTCTTGAAGAACTCAATTTAGCGTTTAATCAATAATATCAGCTACATTCAGGGAAAAATATTAATAAAATGCCCTTTCTACCTTCAAGAGTTCAGGCAGATCTATAATGGATACATTATCGCTTTTTTATATCAAGCATGGACCTATGTTCTTAGATTGTAATTTGTGGTATATCAGGCATTTGTGATGATGATGCTTGTTAAGATGAATTATAACTAGAAAATCCACTTAAAAAGTTTACTGCGAACTTGAAGATTAGCTGCTTGTTGACCTGTGTGATAATACAAAAAAAAAGAGAAAAGAAACCACTCGTACCTGTCCTGCACCGAACTTTGCACATCATCGCCATTCCTCCCACGTTCGTAGTCGCATCGAGCCATACCGCCATGATCTCAACTTCGCATCGTTAAAAGGGCATGGGAAGGAGGCATTCGGGCCTCTTTTTCTCTCTCCCGATCGCGCTCTTCTTCGACCCTTCGTCGCTGCTCGACTTCGCTCCTCCGACGACTTGCCCTTTCTGTAGGATCAGAAGTTAGGACTTCGATCAGAAGCAGTGATTAGAGCTCGCTCGCATGAAGGAAACTTTCTCCATCTCGCGTGCTTCTCCGACCCCATCGTCGATGTTCGGCTTCGCTCCTTCAACGGATTTCCCTTCCTGTAGATCGGAAGCTCAAAACTTTGATCGGAAGCAATGGAGCTCGCCGCTGTAAAGAAACTTTCGTCCTTACGCGCGCTGCTCCGGCCCTTTGACTTCGCTCCTTCCGTGACATCCCTTCCGGTCGGATTGGAGATTGCGACATTTTTTATCGGAGGCAACAATAGGAGCTCTACTCATTGTGAAGGCAACTCACTCCCTTTCAGCGCTCCTTCGGTCAAGCCCTGTAAATTTTCCAACCGAACTCCACAACCATCCGACCTCTGCTCCTATACCCGTAGCTACCTCTAATTTAAAACCGACCCGGCCCCTTTTGCTACCGCCACCTCTTCATCAAGTCGCCAGTGGTGAGGTAGAGGGTAGGTTAATTTGGTAATAATAATAGTTATTTTTGTTATAACTAATTATTATTATTATTATTATATATATTTATGTGTGTGTGTTTGTGAGAGGATAAAAAAAAAGGGGAAGAAAGACAAAAAAAAGAAATACATAAAAAATCCCTCTCTTACCTCGGTGTGCGTGTCGAGCCGGCATACCACCCATACACGCTTTTCTCTAGCGTGGAGGGAAGGAAACCCGATGCGACACCTACGACGAGGTAAGCGAGCGACCCCTCGGTTCCAAAATCCTATCTTTGGCGTTCGTGTCGAGCCGGCAAATCACCCATGCATGCTTTTCTCTAGTGTGGTAGGAGGGAACCCGGTGCGACACCTACGCCGAGACAGGTGGGCTTGGTGCACGCTTTTCTTAGCATGGCCGGGACAACTTCTACGTACCCGTACGCGGCTCTGTACCTGTGGGAAAACAACTGCTTTTCTTGTAACATGTACCGAAGACTCATGCACGCTTTTCTCTGGTATTGTGGGGAACAAAGATTTTACAGTCGTGGTGTCCTCGTACGAGGGCACCTACTGTACACGCTTTTCTCTAGCGTGGCGGAAGGCCCAGTTTTCCGTAGTTTTCTCCTAAACGGGGGAGACGCCGGAAGGTTGCCGAAATTTCGGGTGAATATATGACTATACTCGGACCTGATTTAGACTCAAATGAACACGAACTAGTGGACTTGAGCATGAACTACAAGGACTTGTATTTGAACACAAAGCAAATGATTAAGCAAGACTTGAACCTAAATAAAATAAGGCTCGAACTTGATTGAACTCAAAGGACCACAGTGAACATGAAACTTGAACTCGCACTTGAACTCGGACTATACAACATTAAGTGGGACTTGTAAACTCGATGAACTCAAGTCTAAATGAAACTTGAACTTGCAAATGAACTACAAAGAACTTAATGTGGACCACAAAGAGCTAGATTTGAATGAATATGAGCTCTGAAGAAATTGAATTGGAATGGAGCATATAGAACCAAACTTTGAATCGATGAATGAACAATCAAGATCTAAGCGAATCTTAATCATTCAATTGTATCCAAATAAACATCATACAAGCAAATGTCAACCATGCAAACGGATGTACAAGGACTTGTGGGCTTCGATGTAATTTGCTTGAAGTGATTGCATTCAAATGAACTTCATGCAAGCAATACAACTCAAAGTGAGCGCAAGGACTTGTGATAGAAGGATATGTTTGATCAAATAGACAGCTAAAGTGAGTGACCAGGGATGAAGAAATACGATGACATCTCTGTCACAAATAATGATCCAACTTCAAGAAAGTACATCAACAAATGAGTCTGATACATAGTGAATATGACAAGTAAACGATCAAGATTTGCTGAACAAGTTTTAAATAAATATAGTTGCAAGTGCTAACACCATTTGACCTCGAGCAAATATGCTAACTTGTTTGTAAACAACAAGGCTGACAAGCATTCTACGAATTCATTCAAGGAGGATTCAATGAATGCATTCAAGAAGACTATGATGGATACAGAAGCAAGTGCAAGTCAAAGTATGACCCTCCCACGGTCAATGCAAGTTGGCATGCAATATATCTGCTACACATACAAGATACACACGCCCCAACAAGTCATCATAGTAGAAGGCGACGAATGCACAACACCTCTACAATCAATCACTATCCAATGTTGAACATATACATTGATCCGTTATAAGAAAAGATTGATGATACTACAACAAATGCAAGCATCTACGAGCTGTTGCAAAATAACCGGTGTACACACGAAATATCTCACAAGCAGAATGCATATGTGTATCTTGTATGTGCATTATTGAAACCTCCAACACTAGCAACAATGCATGTAGATTGAGATGGCAACACTGTCAATTGATAGTGGGAGACCCGTCATTGCAAACAACTATATCAAACCACCTGAGATTGGTGAAAGATGGATATGATACTAGTGCAAATGGCTCTCCTACGAACATTTTCAAGAGATCATACCAAATACGACCCGTCCCTACAAACAAGTACAAACATCAAACCACTTGAGATTGATGAAAGGTGGGTATGATGCAGAAACAATGGCTCTTCTACGAACACTTCTAGGAGATCGTAGTGAATACAACGGATCTCTGTAAATAAACACAAGTCACTTGTGGATAACAACAATGGGTATATCGTAGGCACCACAAACCATTATGGACACAAGTATAGACATCACACCTACAGCAGCGATGATTGAGATACTGCAAAGTATGTCGGGCACGAAGACAACTCGATGTACAAAAAAGGACACCTCCTGGCAAAATGGAAGAGATGTTTGAGCAAATTCAAACTAAACTTCCTGGTGTTCCAAAATTTCTCCTTGGTCCTGTACTCTTGAAGAAAACATTTTTTGCATCCACAAACACCGGAAATAACAAGTCTACTACACTAAAGATTCTAAAAGGAGTTCTTTCCAAATTAGTAGTCATTGATTTCAAAGTCCAGAAGGACTCCAGGTGAATTGGAAAAGGGAGTGTCCATCAGGACAATGAGGTATCTCATTGCAATCAAGTGACAACGTTACAATTCACCTATATCCAAAAGCAGGAGATTCGTTAGTGCATTATAATCCACCTGCAAAGAGCAACAAGTAGTGCATGACAGTCTACCTGTACAAAGCAGCAAACAACTCAATCCAAAAGTTGTTGCAACACGCCACCAAATCCACAACACTCATACAAGTGGACAGAAGGCGTGTTCAAACTCTCAAATAGAATGTTGTGCATAATCAAATGGCAGTTAGCTGCATAATTAAAGTATCTCAAAATACCACCACACATGCATTGTAATTTGTACACACATAGGTGCACTAAAAATGGATATATAATCAAGAACCCGCATGGGCCCCGGCGAGCATGTTATTGGAACACGCATGACGTCTAGGGATGATATGCGGGTCAACAAATCTAAACTCGATCCTCCTAAGCATGTAAAAAGGAGTCGACATGGTTTAATTATAAAATGCCCCCCAAACACCTGCATGGGCCCCGGCGAGCGTGTTATTGGTACACACGTGAAGTCTAGGGATGCTGCGCGGGTCAATAAGTGAATTCAAGTTCGAACCCGATCCTCCTAAGCAGGTCAATAGGAGTCGACAGGGTTCGAACTTTCAAACAAATACACGGTTATTGTGACCGGTGTATTTGTTTTAATACATTCATATTAGGCCTTCAAGGCCTACAATCAAGTGA